GGGGGGGGGGGGGGGGGGGGCATTGCCTCTTGGGTGCTCGTGCATACGAGCACACACACAATTTTTGGCACAGGAGCCCAAAAAGGTTAGCTACCACTATTCTATTCTATTCTATTCTATTCTATTCTATTCTATTCTATTCTACCCTAACCCTAACCCTAACCCTAACCCTACTCTATTTTTGTGTTCTGTCATTTTATATTTGATGATTTTAATGGTTTTAATGTTTATTATACTATAAGCTGCTCAGTTGTTTGAAACAAGATGTGTGGCAAATTTAAATAAATAAATAAACAAATCAATTCCCATCTATTGTGTTTGTAGTAGAAAATGTTGTCCAGTCTCAGATGTTAATCCCTTGAAAAGGAGAACTGAACAAGGTCAATTTAGGACTGTTTCTATGGAATAAATCTTTGAATATCCCACAAATATATATACTTATTTGAGTTGTACAACCAGGAACACATAACTGCTGTAGTTTCATGGAATGGTTTTGTGGCTATATAAAAATAATTGATGGATTCCGTGAACGTCTGATGAATAAGCAATGATCTAGATCAGGGGTCACCAACCTTTTGGACCTCAGGGACTATCAAACTCATAATTTTAAATCCCACGGACCACTAATATGAATTTTGACTGGTGGTGGTTTGCTGACGTTGGTGGGAAAGTCGGTTCCATATTCCAGAGCCATCACAACCATGTGCCCATAGCGACACTGCAATGTCTGCCACCTCAAGGATCTGTTGTAAGTTTGAATGCCGTAAGTGAATGATTAGTAAGCAAGAACTACCTGTATGTAAAATAATCCATAGCATTTTCCAAATTGCCCCCTCTGAATTGCATTAGATTACAAATCCCATCTCCACCCAGCAGGCAACAATAACAGAAGGACATCAAATTATGAAAAGCTGTTTTATTATATTCTAGCTGTGGACAGAAAATACATGTTATCAGTTAATCTGCGGTCTGTCTGTCTTGGTAGAAGAATTCTTCTATTCCTTTGGTTGTCTGTGATTTTGCTTTGATTTCTGCAGTCTTAGCAGCCAGGAGATTGTAGCAAATTTGCTCCCTTCTTTTTATGCCCATTTTCCTTGTAGGTCAAATTAACACTGGACAACTTGATGGAAGTGCAAGCAGTTTTCACGGATATTGGAGACAGCATCTCCCGCGTGGAGCATATCCTGAAGGAACAAAGGCAATTAGAAGAAAGAGGACAGGTAAATTGGCCTAAATAATAGAAATTGCTCTTGCTTAACAGTCATCATTGGGACCAGCAACACTGGTGTTAAGCGAGACATTGCGTGATTGCAACATGGCTGACTCAGGAATTATGAGAGTTGAAGTCCACAGGTTGTAAAGGGGCTGCAGTTATTTTGTTTCCCCCAAAATATGACCTGCCCCGAAAGTAAGTCCTAGCTTGATTTTTATGTGTGTGCCCAAAATAAGCCCTGATGAAGACCCCACCCACTTCAGAGTGCACGGATAAAAATTAAGCTAGGGTGAGGATGTGGAGCTGCCCTACTACCTCTGGACAGTTGTAGCCAGGCCTCACACACCCCAACACCTGCCTTACAATCCCATTTCTTCTGCAGCTGGCAAGGCTTTCCTGAAGGCCTCTGTAGCTGAAAACAAAGCTCCAGATTGATCTGGAGTCCTGTTATAGGCTGCAGAGGCCTTCAGGAAGCCTTGCCGGCTGCAGAAAAATAAGTTCCTGAAGGCCTTTGACAGCGAAAAGGAGGTCAGGGGTGACACACACAAGTGAGGTTAGTCAGCGGATGACATCCCCTGAAAATAAGACTTGGTGCCTTTTTTGGTGGCAAAAAAAAAATAAGACAGGGTCTTATTTTGGGGGAAATGCAGTACTCTCCTCTGATGTAGGTATCTGGAACATCAATTAAATTGTGGGTTATTTTCCTTAAACCTTTTGATAAAGGTCAAATGATAAACCTTTTGATTTTCTTTGTCCTTCCTTCTTTTACAGGAACCTTTGGAAAGAGCCCAGTCCTTGGCTGTCCATGGAGACCAGTTGATCCAAAATGACCATTATGCAATAGATTCCATTAGACCGAAGTGTGTTGAACTCAGGAGGATCTGTGATGACTTTGCCAATGAAACCAAGAAAAAATACGATATCTTGGGGAAATCTCTTGAATTACACAGACAGTTAGATAAGGTAAGAGGCTGTGGGTAAGTGTAAGTAAAGGTCAGGAAAAAATTAATTGCTCAATGGTATTAAAGATTCACAGAACAATATACAGGCAGTCTTACTACCACAATTGAGGCCAAAATTTCTGTTGTTGAGTGAGACAATTGTTAAGGGAATTTTGCCCCATTTTACAACCTCTCTTGCCAACAATTGTTAAGTGAATCACTGCAGTTACATTAGTAACTCAGTTGTTCAGTGAATCTGGCTTCCCCATTGACTTCACTTGTCAGAAGGTTGCAAGAGGTAATTTATGTGACCCAGGGACACTGCAACCGTCATAAATATGAATCAGTTGACAAAAGTGTCCAAATTTTGATCATGGGACCACGGTCATAAGTGTGCAATGGTCATAATTGTGAAAAACAGTCACCAGCCACTTTTTCAGTGTCACTGTAACTTCGAACATCAACTGAGGACTACCTGTAACTATTGGTTGCCTAAAAATTGGAATTCTCCACCAAAAGTTTCAAACTATCAGGAAACTAAATTCTGTAACCACATTGATTTTACTTACTTTGACAGTCTTTCCAGATTATCCAGGCTTTTGCAAATGTTTGTCTGATCAAAGTTCTTTTTTCTCTTGAGTGGATTAGAAACTTCCTCAGCCTTTAAATGGTTTCCCCCCACCCCATGAAAAGGGTGGGATTTGATGAAATGGTTATAGCCACCATTATAACTTTTACGATCCCTTTTCTGTTGACTCCGCTGCCTCTCGTGCTACGTAAAAGACTACTTGGCCTGAGATGATGTATATGTTGCCGGCAATGTGTGAAAAACTGATATTGTGCAGAACGCCTAAGAAATCTGTTGAATGTGTGACATTTTTAGGCAAAGTATGAAATGTCTGTGTTAGTTTATATACTTTATACTATATCTTTCCCTAGACATTGTACATAGTACCTAGATATTATGCAGAATGATAAGAACTATTTAGGCAAAATATGAAGAGTCATGAAAAGGATTAGGGTTAGGCTTGCCTAACCCCAACTCTAATCTTAACTGTAACCCTATTCTTAACCCTAATATTAACCCTAACCCTATATTTAAAAGATGTGCATGAAAATAAAAGAAGAAATGCAAAATAAAGTACAGGATTTTCCTACTGAAGAAAAAAACCTAAGAGAAAAGAGAAAAAGTCCAGTATTGATTACTTATTGCAACAAGGAAGGCTCAGAATGTCATTTTAGCAAGAGTTTTCTGTACTTTGCTGGTTTGCCTTTTGGCACTGCATAGAATATGTGCAATATTAAGTCTTTCATCCTTTGACGTTTCATTTTTGGCACTCTGTAGATTTCCTAGGCATTCTATAAAATGCCCAATTTCACAGATTGGTGGTAACGTATCCATTTAATACCTTAATAGTGCCAACTCTAAATTCTTCTGCTCCCTTAAAATGACCCTGCTCACACCACGAGGACCCGGGGATATGATATATGAGGAAATGTATGATCTGAGCTTTTAACAGCATATTCATCTTCTCTTTTTCAAGGCTAGCCAATGGGGTGAAGCTGGAATCTACCTCTTAGCTTCCCAAGCTGTAGACAAATGCCAGACACAAGAGGGAGCTGAAACTGCACTTTGTGAGATAGAGAAGTTCCTGGAAACCCTCAAAGACTACCAGATGCTGAATGCAAAGGAGTTCTACAACCAGTTTGACATGATTCTCACCCCAGAAATAAAGGTAAGATCCTGAGTGGGCAGCCAATGTACATTCGTCCAAGGGTATTTGAAAGCCATCTAAAGGCACTAAAGTCCACTGATATCAATGTCAGAGGTGTCCAACCTTGGCAACAGAGGTATCCAACCTTGGGTGTTCCAAAGGTGCTTTTTTCAAGAGACAACTGGACTTTCTGGTTTATCTTTGAGGACGTTTTGCTTCTTGCCCAAGAAGCTTATGAACTGGATGACTGAGAATCTCCATAGACACTAAGACGTATGGACTTCAACTTCCAGCATTGTGGAATTGTGGGAATGGAAGTCCACAGACCTTAGAGTTGCTAAGGTTGGACACCCTGGCTCAACGCCAAGACCAAGCATCAGCTGCTGAAAAGATGCTTTTGAGTAGAAGCATTGCATTGGTTCCTTACATAGCCCCAATTGATTCATTTATTGTCTCTTGCAGAGCAATGCCCAAAGAGTACTACAGAAACTCGAAGACGTGCAAGAAATGTTTGAGAAGAGACAAGTCAGCCTGAAGAAGTTGGCCGCAAAACAGACCCGGCCAGTGCAACCCGTTGCCCCGCATCCTGAATCCTCACCCAAGAGAGCCTCTCCTAAAACCGTCCGTCCTGCCCCGTTAGGTAAGGTTTTGGGGGAATAGCATGGGACGGAGTGACTCCAGAGTCCCATATTTAGAGAGATGGTTTTCTCGGCCAAGTGTTATTTGCCGATATCCTTCCTCTGTTTACTCTAGCTAGGTTAGTACTATGCTGGTTCCCGGAATCGCACCCAGTTTAAGTCTTTTTAATCACCTAAATATTTCTGCGTATTTACGTTCAAGCTAGTCTTACAGGTCTTTCTGAATGTGTCCATTATAGTTCTTCAACTACCGGTGACCTTACAACTCCTGGAATTTTCTGCAGTGGGACGATTTAATGGTGGAACTTACAGCAAGTTGTGCCCCCCCCCCCATTTATTGTAGTGTTCAGCAGATGCTAAATAACCATACCTCTGGCGTTCTTAAATTGGATTTTTTTTTCCCCCACTGAGCAAGAGGTTGGACTCCAGGGCTTGTCTTGATTGCAGCTGAGGCCAAGACAATTGAAAAATAACACAATTAGATCTTTTTAATTTTGACTTAATAAGGGCCCAAGCCTGGACATTACTTGAGACAGAGAGATGCCACTTCGGGGGACAGCAAGAAATGCTACCAAATCCGGAGAGCTGCCAGCTCTCATCTTTGTGATGTGCGTGGTAGTGTGTGGCATTTTCGGATCTTTTGAGAGTTCTGTTTATTTGGTCTTTTTTCCCCCCCAGCTCCCAATAGAAGATCAGTAGAAATTCCTAGCCCTCCAAAATCCATTTCTGATGCAGATTTATCCAAAAAGAAAAGTGTAAAGAAGGCTAAAGGTGGAATTAAGGTAAGAGAGTTGTGATATTTGCAAGTTAAGTTTTCAAGAGAGAAATTTCACGGAGCATATCTGGTGTTGCACAGGGTACAGCAATGTTTCTCAACCGTAGCAATTAAAAAAAAATCCGGAATCAGCCTCCTGTTTTTCCAATTTCTAGACCTTGCTCCCCCGCCTCACAAGATTTTATTGCCAACAAGGCACATAAAATTATAGTAATACAGGTAGTCCTCAAGTTATGGCCATAATTGAACCAGAATTATGGTCCTACGTCGTGTTGGTCATTAAGTGCATCACCATTATGACCACACCAGATTTTGCAACATTTTTTGCAGAGATTGTTAATTGAACCCATTGTACCCAATGGCTGGGTTTTTTTTGTTTTTGGCTAGAAATGGTCATGTGACCACAAGCTGCAAATGGCCATAAAGGCGCGCCAGTTCCAAAGGCCCAAAATGTGATCATGTGGCTCTGGGGGAGGGGAAGCAGACATTGGAACTTCAAAACAGAGTAGGAGAGGTTCATCATAACTTTGAATGGCAGTTAAACAACCAGTCGTAAATTGAGGACTACCTGTAAATACGTAATGGCGTCCATTTTTGGTGGCGCCATGTTTCAGAAGGTTTTTGGTGGAGGTGTGGTGGAAATAAAACAGGCAGGTCAAATCATTGCAGAATTTAATATACCTGTTTTCCACCTTCCAAAACAACATGCATACATACCCAGAAATCTGGGTCCATCTTATAGAACATGATTGGGTCACCAGCTTTGTTCCCCACAATCTTTGGAAACAGATCCGACAAAAGGAATCAAATAATAATAATTAAATTGATCTCCAGTCAAAAATAGCTTGATTTACATTGTTGTTCAACTGTGCCTAATCCTAGGTAGTCTGTAGTATCCGTTTCTGATACTCCCAGACAAAACCATCAAGGCGCAGGAAGTGACAGAGGAAGAGGAGTAAATACAGGAACAGACAGCCACATGAAAGTCCAGGCATTAGAAAATTTGTCAAGAGTCATTGGACTTCAAAGCTAATTGTACTCCTGTTATTTTTCATATAAGCTTCGCTGCCAAGTAAGAATTGGGTAGCATAAATGTGGTTGTGAGATGACCAGTTTTAGTCTCAAAACAAAATTGACAGCCAAGCCAGGATGATTTTGCATTTTTGTTTCTTTAGGATGCGAGTTTCCAGGCGGTGTCAGTTTTTATACGAAATTTAGAAATTGTTTTGTAGATAAAGGAGCCCTGATTCTTTTTCTGTTTTTTTTTTTGTTGTTTTGTGTTCCTGTGTTTTCCAAAACTAATCTCCAGATTGAAGTGATGCACGAAGCAAGTCAGGGAGGTTCCAGCAGAGTCTTGGTAATAAGTGAAAGTGAAGAAAATCTTTCCACGAGGAGAAGGTAGGAAATTCCTTGTTCTCAGAAAATTGGTTATTATTATTATTATTTTTTTTAAAAAATGGATCAGTCTGTTATTCTGATCAAGGAAGTGGTGTGTTACTACAGTGTCTGAAATGTGTGCATTTTCAGGACCATGGGTGGGATTGGAGAAAAGGAGGTTCTTAACTTTCAAATATATAGGTAGTCCTCAACCTACAACCGTTCGTTTAATGAACATTCAAAGTTCTAATCGTGCTTAAATAGTGACATATCACTTTTACAACAGCTACAGCATCCCCACTGTCATGTGATCAAAATTTGGGCACTTGCCAATGGGCATGTGGCAATTATCAGTGATTGCAGTTTGAGAGCTTCCTAGCTATCTTTCGCAAGCAAGGTCAATGGGGGAAGCCGCATTTGTTTAATGACCGCCTGATTCACTTAACAACTCAGTGATTCAATTAACCACTGTAGCAAAAAGGTCATAAAATTGGGTGTGACTTACTTAATAACTGTCTTGCTTAACAACAGACATTCTGGTCCCAGTTATGGTTGTAAGTCAAGGACTACCTGTATTCCATAACTAGTTCCTTGGGTCTCTAGCACAAGATTTGAAGATAATGCTGTGTTATACTTTGTTTGTAAAAGGATGAACCTAGGGTTCATTGATCTTGTATGAACCTGCAATTTAACAGAACATGAACCTACTGTATCTCAAAAAAATAATATGGAGCAAAAAAAAAGAAGATGCAGAGAAGAATAACCAAAATGATTTGGTTGTAATAATCAGATCTCGCATGACTGGAGCTTTTTCACCTAGCATGAAGGATTATAAAAGATGCGTGGCTTGCAAAATATAGAGAAAAGGGTTTTCTCCAGAATAATATGGAAATTCAGAAGTATCTCCTCTCAAAAATGTTTACATGCATTAAAAACCATTTATTAATATTTTATTTATAAGATATTGTTTATTTTCTATTTATGTTTGTACCAAATACATATTTTACTTTATAATATGTTTATCAATGAATATACTTAGGAATATTCATAAATATGTGTTTATAAATCCTTGTTTATCTTTATTAAATTCTTATCTTTATGGAGGGGAATTTTTTTCTGAAACCAAGATGTATATAATTCCCTAATTTTTAAGGAAAAAACCATGATGTGCACAACTGAGTGGGAATGGCTTCTTCTTCTTCTTCTTCTTTTTCTTCAGCGTTTGTCTCGCGCTCGGGCGAGGTCCGCTAAAATGTGGGAATGGCATTCTACAATTTGTATATATGAATGCATACATATTTGTTAATGTGATATAAGTGAAAACTTTGCATCATTATGATTATTAATATATTTTTCCATTCCAATGATCCTCCAATACTAGTTCCAAACCCTGTGAATGAATTTTGTCATTGATAAATAAATCACTTCCTTATCGTAACGGGAACTATTTTTAAATCCACTTAATCCAATTTCCACATTGTTTAGTTGCCAACTTAGAGATGTCTAAAATTTACATCTTGAAGAATTTTGTCTGTTTGTAACTTCATATATGGAAAAGAATCCTATATACATACTGATTTTTGAATACAGTGGCCTTAATTCATGACTATTTCATAAGCTCCCAAGACTAGCAGAGGTATCTAACTCATCTAAATAATCAACTCGTTCCTTTTTAAAAAGACAGAATACTGCAAAATAAATATGTATGACAACTAAGCTATGTTAGACGGTAGGCTTGGATAGAATTACTGATACTATTATAGAAAAGGCTAGGAAACTGTTTTTTATGTTCATTTATGAATTAATGGAGAATTTAGAGCTGGCAAAAATTACATTTCTGAGTGTTCCAGGTGTGATGTGATCCATAAGTAACTGTATGATCTTCTTTCCTGATATATTAAGTATTAGATTATAGAACTGGGCTACTATATAAGCACATTCTTATGCCTCTTTATTCTTATAGATAAATATTAACACTTTGGCATGTTTTGTAGTATGGAAGCATATTTATTCCAGAGGAAAATCTCCAGAATTATTTATTTTATTTATGAGATTTACAGCCCACAACTCCAAAATGACTCTAGGTGGCTGATGCCAATAACAATAAGAATAAAAATAGTACTATATATTAAAATCTATTAGCCAGTTTGGTGTAGTCATTAAGGCACCATGCTAGAAAAATAAATATTGTAAATGTAATCCCGTGCATCCTGCCAAACATACTCCCTTTAATGAGAAATCACCACCAAGCTTCCATAAAGACCCTAAACAAGGCCTGTGAAAACAGCCAAAGTTTTAAAAGATTTTTAGGCCACTTTCAGGGTGGGAGAGAATAGCTCAAGTAATAGTCCAGAGTTGCCTGCCTAACCTTGGCAACTTTAAGACTCTGGATTTCAACTTCTAAAATTCCTCAGCCAGCATAGCTGTAAAATAGTCTGTAGTTTTTTGGGGTGGATGGATGGGTGGGTGGGGTGGCTGAGCCATTCCCCAAGGCTTTGCATAATGTTTAGGGAGAGATTTAAAATACAAAATTCTTAAAATGTGTTTCTTTGGCAAAGCATATTTCCTTCCAATTATAATCTGTTTTACATGAGCACAAGCATATTTAAGGTGCACATTAAAAAAAAAACATTAACGGTCAGTATTTGAATAACTGTGGAAAGGTTTTTATCCTGTAGAGAATACAGGATTCTATTGCTGCCACAAAAGAAGTAAAATACCACACTTAGTACATGCAAAATTGCTATCAGTAATTGCTATCAATATTTCAGGCTATTGAGATTAAATCAGGCCATTTCCAGAAAGCAAATTTGTGGGTGAAATAATGTGCCAAGAAACACAGTTAAAGTTGCTTGCAATGGAGCTAAAATCATAGTGTGTGCTTGTTATCCGGTATTTTTAACTTAGCATCTCATGTGCACACAGTTTAAATGTCCCACCTAAGACAAGAGGCAAAATCATATTCACAATTATTGGAATTGCAACCTCAAAGAAAAACAGGTAATCTATTCCAAATGTTCTATTTTACAAGAAGCAAATGTTATTGTGGAAAAATTACAGTACATTTACAAAATACACAACATGTTTATTGAAAATAAATATTTATAAAACACTGTTCAGGACAAAGTGTCATGAATAAATAATTGCTTCACTTAGATTATTTTTTTAACTCAAATAGCTGCAAACCAAACAGGTAAAAACTTAGTATAACAGTCATGTAACAATACACACGAGTGACAATTCAGGCTGATGCAAGTACTTGTGAAGTCAAGAAAAAAACATTACAGCCCTGCATCTTGAACACTAGTAAACCTAAGAATTTCCTCTTAAAAATTTTAAAGATAATGTTCAGATCCCCAAGATTAAGAGTCTTAAGGGAAAAAAGGATGCTTTCATAAAGTATTTAAATAATTAAACATCTGTGCTAAACAATATACAACTCCATTCTTTAACAACTAGCCAATATTTTTTCAACTTAACAAACTTGCTATAAAACAAAAAACATGCACAGCTTTTTCATAGTTAGCACACGTGAGTTTATGCTTTGTAATTCTGCCAAAATTATAAGAATTTAATTTAATCTGACACAACAGACAAATCAAATGTTTGCTTGAGGGTAAGATGAGGATATTCAAGCATTTTGTGTCTATGGTCTATCAGTAGTTATTAGCTTTATATTATTTTTAAATTGGTTACAGAAACATAGAATTCTCACCCCCATTAAAATTGATATTAAATTTGTCTTAATTTCATCATCAAAACTCAGTAAATAGGGAGGAGAGAAACCAGTAAAGCAAACATTTTGACAGAAATGAATGCCTAGAGGCATGCAGACAACACAACCCTGTTTCATGCCATTCTGGAAATGGAAGACGTGGTTATTTAACTCATACTAAGAAATGCAGAATGGGAGAAGATTTCAATTGAAAGATTATAAATGGTAAAATCACTGAAATTCTGATTAAGAGAAAACTACTTTATGAAACTGGCACAGATTGGATGTAAACAGTATTTCTTTTTAAATATATTTATGCTAATCATGTATATATCAGTTTCATAATTTTTGAAAGGAAAAAAATGGAATTAAATACTTAATATTTTAAAATAGTGTTCTACAAGGCTTGTATTTGTGTTCCTAGAGTGTAGTACCTTCAGTATTAATCTCTTAAAATATATCTTGCTTAATGGGAATAATTTGGGAGATAACACATATGCAGTGAACACCAACTGAATAAATCAAGCGGGGCCTTATAGATTGGAGCAATGAGACAGGGCCATCAGTTTTATACTATTTATGTTTTAGTGTGCAATTTAGAACTATGAAATGTAAAACAACAGCTTTGCAGAATTCAATAGAAGTATTTAATGTCAACGATAGCACCACTTGCATAGGATTAGGTTTCTTTTAAATTCATCTTGAGTGGTCACATAATAAAACACATAAAGCTATTCAGTTGTAAAAACATTAGATCAAAATGTAATAATGTGTTTAGAAGTGATGTGGAGAAAGTGCTCTTTGTACTTTATCTTTCTCCATGTGAACTGCAAATATTAACATGTCAGAAAATGTATGTTTTTCAACTAATTAACAATTCAATTTCTATTTGGTAATTTCATAATTCCAGATTGAGAAGAATAAATGTTAACTTTAAAATCTATCCAGTTCTTAAAAGTATCTGGTGGGAAACTTTACTATAATAGGGAAATTGTTTTTATAATTATAATGTATCTTTGGAGAACTGTGCAATCTGCAGGCGAGTTTTGATTGAATTTTTCTTATGTTCATTCTAATTTGTTATGGAGAAAGCAAGTGACTTACTCCTTCATTTGTGACTCAATAAATCTATTCTGATATTCAAGTATTAGGAAAATGCAGCTGAACAATGATACGTATCGTGATTATATAATCTGCAAAGCAGCATAATATTAACTATTCTACAGTATATACTACCCCAAATTCCAGAAGAAATGTTTTTCATTTTTAGATCTGTAATCTGTTGCCAAAAATACTGAAGATCTTCTAAATGTCCATGAGAAGTAATCATTTTGTCATAAATGCAAGGATGATATGGAGCCTTTACTCCCCCAGAAAAGAAGGGGTGATTGTGTGGTACAATTCCCACTTTGTTGGCACAAAATCCCATGAAAACATCATCTATGTAAAAACTTGAATTAAGAGTCTGTGAGGCTCGGTATACTTTAGCAACTACATCTCTGGATAGAACATATGCAGCTCCAGCTGTGTAGTCAGGATAGACAGACCATGGGTACATTTTATAGGAAACATAATATTTGCTTTTTTTATCCCTCACGGGAGGTGATGCATAATGGACGTGCCCAACCCAAACATCCTGAGCCCCAATTTGTGCTAGATTTTGGAGGTATGCAATAAGATTTGGCATGTGGATAAATATGTCATCATCGGCTGACATGACAAACTTGGCATGAGGGCAGAACTTGTTTGCCCAGCTGAACTGTAACAGTAATTTGTAGGTAAGATTGTAAAAAGTATCCAAAAAGTCTTGTTGAATCAGATCACCATGCCTCTTGTCTTCCCTTTCCAGCCTCATTTGCATTTCACTTCCCAGTGAAAAACGTGATTGTCCTAAAACAAACAAGGCTTTTATGTTGGCATTCAGATAGTGATGAACGTAGTCTTCATTACCCCATGTTTGTCGAATTGCATCTCTCCTCTGGTAATTTTCAGGTGATGTCTTTACAAAGATCAAGAGGAGAACATCTTGCCCTTGACATTTCTCTTCATGATTGATCAGATATCGATGCCTTGCTACGCTGTTACATCTGCTAGTACTTAGATTGTCATTCACAAAAGGATAGTTATTTATGAGGTATCTGTATGAGAAAGATTTTATAAAGTACACAAAGGTAGGGCTATCAATTTCTACAAAAAAAACAAAGAAGCACAGAACTAAACAAGTGGCAAAAATGTACACAAACTGACATTTTCTAATTCTTCTAAAATTAATAACATACATTCTGGTTCACTTCTTCTTCACTTCTTCCAATTAAAGATTTGGATTTTTAAATAAGTTTTAGTGTGAGACTTCAACATTTCTCTTTCAGGAAAAGTGTTCATTTTAGATGCATCTGTGGCATCTGAGTTACTGGAGAGTCAATCACCTCAATGAAATCCCATATATTTACTTTTAAAATTCATCTTGTTTCCAAATAAATTTGGTGAATGTAGGAGGACTTTGACAACATACAAAGATTCTTTTGTTGCCTCTTCACCTGATGTAATATCAAAACTGAATAGTTACAGCACCGTCATCTGCAAAACACAAGAAAAACATAATTCATCTTTATGGTTCATCATTTCTGTAAGATACCAGTAACAGAAAGGGATAATTACTTCACAGACTCAAGCAGCCTGATAATTAGTCCTGCCTCACCCAGCAGGTATCTATGGAGATTCTCAATCATTCTGCTCGTGGTAGTCCCAAAGATGCTTTTTCTAAAAGGCAACTGGACTTTTTTTTTTTTTCTCTTTGAAAACATTTCTCTTCTCATCCAAGAAGCTTCTTTAGTTCTAACTGATTGGTGGGGAATGGAAGGATTTATATTCTTTGCAGTTATCTGGTTGTTAGCATTCTGAGGGTTGGTCATTAGCTCTCTAACTCAAATTCTGGGAGTGTCTATGGAGATTCTCAGTCATCTTGGTCATGGTTGTCTCAGGTGCTTTTTCAAAAGGAAACTGGACTTCGTTTTTCCCTGAAGACGTTTTGCTTCTCATTCAAGAAACTTCTTGGATTAGAAGCAAACGTCTTCAAGGGAAAACAAAGGAAGTCCAGTTGCCTTTTGAAAAAGCACTTTTGAGACATCCAATTCTGGGAGTTGAAGTCAACAAAGATTGTAAAATTGTCACAGTTGCCCACTCGTGGTCTATATAAGTCAAAACTCAGGAGGAACCTGGTAGCACTTTTTCTGGCTAACCAAATGTATTAAAAGGCATTCACTTTCCCAAGCCTGGCCTCTGATGGCTTTTTCTCTCCTAATGTTAATTCCTGCCTCCAGAGCCATTCACAGACCAGTTCTGGCTTAGGGAAAGCAGAAAAGGGAGGTGACAGATTGTCTTAGAAAATAAGCTGTTCTCCTTTCTCTTCAGTTTTGCATTTTGTAAAGAAATCAATCATACAATTGCTTTCTTATACTCTTTGCAAAATACAGTAGTAGAAAAATTAAGGATAAGGAGTGAAGTGTGGGGTTTAAAAAAAACACCAGAAAGCTTTTAAATTCCTTCCTTCCTTCCTTCCTTCCTCTATCTAGCTATCTACAGTATCTACCTACTTAACTATCTACCTATAATCTATCCACCTAATCTAACCTAGCCACCTATTATTTATGACCTATAGCGAGCTAGCTATCACTGTATTTTGCTGTGCTTTTTAATTCTTTTTATTTTCTCAGAGTCACTAAGGTGATAAGGATGGCTGCACACTCAATCAACCAACCAACTAAATCAATAAATATTCATATAGACAAACAGGCAGGTTTGACCAGGCTGACAATGTTATAACATTTCTCTACCTACCTGTTCTCAAGAAAACCCAAATGAACTTCAGGCTGAAAAATGCTTTTTAAATTACATACATGTGAACACATTCAGTAAATACTGGAAAATGGGTTGTCTGCAGGCTGTGGTTAAAAAACAACAACAATCAAAATGGCGGCCCCAATAGCAATAAAAATTCTGCCCCTTTTTTAATGTGCTGAAGTGGGCAGAGCTTTGATTTGCCTGTTGTGGTCGCCATCTTGTCCTGTTTTGGCCACTTTGTTCACTCAAGTCCTGAAGTGTTAGATCGTATCAAAACAACATGAACCCTCTATTGGAGAAAACCCCAATTTCGGACACGGCACAATGTTGCATATGTAATTGTCACCCAAGAATGGGTTTCCAAGAGAATTTTTCATTGGATTTCCCTGTTTAAAATCAAACAACTTCCCCTGCAGCCATCTTGATTCTCTTTCCTTGGGGGGGGGGGGGGGAACCACACCATTTCTTGGTCATCAAGCCCTCTTTTGTGGCCTGTTTTGGCCATGTTTGGTTTCAGGGTCTCTCCTAAAAGTTGGTTTCACCTTCAGGGGCATACTAAAGAGGAAATTAGGGCCACATGTCAGTTTCCTCAGCAGGAATGTGGAAATGTCTGTTTGCTGCCTTTTTCCCCCCCAGCATTTATAGTGGAGGTGATTGCTATACATAGGCCCAGCCATGTTTGGAGGACTAGAAGGCCACATACATCGTTCCCAAGATAACAAGTCTTTGATTCTTGCCCCAGGATCTCCTGGTGGTCTCCCATCCTTGCAGAGCCTCCAGGCCTAAGCAGGAGCCGCCCCCATTGACCAAAAGCATCATCTGCAATCTATGAGGCCTCACTCCAGGCCTCCTGTTGTTTCAAGAAGCGAGAAGATGGTGAAGCAGTTTCGCCTAGCGTAACTTTCTCTACTAAGGATTATGGGCAATGAAGTCCTATACATCTAAAGGGCATCAGATTGGGAGCGGTTGATAGGAAGAAGGCATTTCTCTCCCCCACCCCTTTGAGTCTTGCATCTTGGCCATCCCTACTTTCTTTTTATGAAACAGCAAAATTCATGAAAAGATTTCAGGGGCTCCCAATGAGACATGTTATTTCTGCCACATTGTGAGTTTTGCACAGAGCAAACTTTGATTTCCAGCTGTGGGTGTCCTTTGTTTTGGTTTTGTTCCAACTTGGCTGCTAGTCCAAAGTGAGGTTCAGCCTTTTCTTCTGCCTAATACCTGACCATCATTTGCAGAGTTATTAGTTTGACCCAATTAGAAATTCACTTTCCTTCCTCAGCTTCAATTAATTAATATTTTCCATTTATTTTATTTATCACATTTAGAAACTGCCCATCTCCCTCACACCTTGGATGGTGTACAATTAACATGTTTAAAACATAAAAACAGAATGTAACATTAAAAAAATTAGCTTGAGAAGCTGTGAAATCACTGGAAAGGGAAATATACTTCACACAACGTCCCATTCTAGAGTCCATTTACTCAACTTCTGAAGTCACACATTTTTTTGACTTCACACAATATGATAAACCATAAATAACCAATCAAGCCTGGTTTTCACAATATGGTAAGTTAGGAAACAAATGAAGTTTAACAGTAACCCAGTTTAAATGGCATGGATGCATCTGCTAAGTCTTTACACGTACTTTCTTTTATTTTTTTTCTGCAAGTTTAGCCAGTTCTGAATCACCAAAAAGCTATTCTTCATGCAAACCTTGTTAGGGGATATTATCTTGGGATAATAATAACAATAAACTCGATAGGTGAACAAAAATTCCAAATCCAGTCTAAATGTCTGGCTGCATGAAGAACCAATAATAATAGTAGTAGTAGTAGTAATAATAAGTAATAGGCTCTTTGGATGCAATCTCAAAATTTCTGGAGCATCACTTGAATACCATAGGCATTGACAAATTAACCATTGGTCAATTGCAAAAGGCAGCTTTATTTGGGACAGCTTACATTCTGCAATGATACCAATAACACTGTCAGACATCCACAGTCTGCCTATCCATCCCAGGTCCTCATGAAGGACTCAATAAGTTCACAAAAATGACAAATCCAATCTGAATATATGCCCTCATTTACAGCAGTCAGCAGCCCTTTGCATGCAAGGTGAGGGATGGCCATTTACCTTTAATATCTATATGAAACAACACAAAACAACATTTTTAAATATGTCAAAAAAAAACCCCAAACAAACCAGAATAGTATTGTAGTTATTCCTCCTATGTCCCAAACAAAGAAGTTTTGAGTATTACAAGCTAAATGAGGATAGGAATAAGAAAACAAATCACTCTGGAGCAGGGGTCTCCAACCTTGGCAACTTCAAGCCTGGAGGACTTTAACTCCCAGAATTCCTCAGCCAGCTTTGCTTAGAGTTGCCAAGGAGACCCCTGCTCTGGAGGATGGAACTGATGCAGAAAATCTCCATTTTTTTTTCAGGCTGCACAAGGCCTGACCACATTCAGTTTCACAAAGCCAATTGAAGGCTTGACGTTGAAAAGAGTTTTTATGCTATATACGTATTGTGTGTGTGTGTGTATTATTGCTGTTCTGTCAAATGCTTCTAGCAAAACAGAAAATTGCCTTAGCATAAGCTTGTGTTGTGACCATGAAAATTATGACATAAATATAAATAATTTATAATGTCATAAAACACAAAATTCAGATTTAAAATAAAAAGCAAAGGAGGCTTTAAAAAAAAACTGTAACTAAACACCATTCAGGAGAATAAATGGAATTTTGAGGTTTTCGTGTGAAAATAAAGAACCGTTAAATATAAACTGAAGGGCAAGTCATTTTATTTCAATAGATTGTCCAAATTGCTATTTCTAGCATAGACCAACACATCCCAGGTTTGGAGCCTGTCATGTGCAACATAAAATGAGCTGTACAAGCAGTTTATCACAACTGAAATCAGCACATTTTACAGCACAAGTCATGGTCTATTATTTTGGCTGCAAAAATTACACATCAAATGAATGAAACAACTCAGCAAGGAAAATACTAGAGATTTCTTCTGTTGTTGACAGGTAAAATGGTATTAGAGAATAAGACCATAAAATAAATCCATTTATTAAACTAGCAATTTAATTAACCACCAAAAGATTAGAAACATTTGAGAACTTCTATCTCTACCAATATTTTCAGTGACTGAATATTTTCTGTCGTATCCAAACAATGTCTTGTCTAGGTAACAATGCAGGAAATAAACTATCAACAAATCAAAAACATATGATATTTTTCATATGCCATTTTTCATTTATCTACTCACTTCCTACACAAATTAAGAATCCAAAATGTTATGCTGCTGTTTCTGAAGTGCCAGGGAAGAAATAATTAATTTAAATTATATTTATATATTTGTATCATTAGCAGCAATATGCTTGGATCCTGCAGGTAAAAATCCAGTGACAGCACACAACTGTGCAAGTACTTGAGCGAATTAGACGCAAATTAAGCACATCAGCTTTCAGTCCCTTAGCATGTATGCACAGCCAAAATATTTTTCCCAATTGCCATGAAAAAGTTGAAATTGACTCAGGTAAATGGTTTCAACTATTCTTTATTCCATAATCCAAACTCTGCATGTATGACTTAACATACTCTTGTAAATAATAAAATTAATGAATACGACCTGTGCATAATTATTGCTACCCTTAGAAATTAAAAGACATTATTGGATTTTAATGAATTCTCAAGCAGACAATTTACTTTAATTGCTACCACAGGTATCTTCAATCTAATAATCAGTTACTCAGCCTGCTTGAATGGAGAAAAATATTCAAGTATCAATAGAGGAAAGTATTTGTAGCTCAGAGTTGAAATGAGGCATCTTTGGTGCTTTTTGAGC